TTGTAACTTGAGGGCTGAAATAGAGGAGACAGGATAATGTCAATTTGCCTGTTTGAATTTCTGAGGCTTGGAACTTTTTAACGAATGGAATATGTGATAACTTCCAGTTGCTATTTTGTTCTGTCGTTTTTACCCGGCAGTTTCCCAGTCTGTAATTAGCTTCCTCACAGAACTGAATGCTTTTAGGGACGAAATTATTTTTACAATAAATTTCTACTGAAGAAATTATTCAATATTAAAAAGCGCTTAATTTTGCACATCAGTGTTGACAAGTATCACATGTTAACCTGCCAGCCTTTTTAATTTTTTTTTTTAAGTGGTTTTTTGGCTCAGAATTTCAAAGAGGAAAAAATTTGAACTGACGTGAATCTTTATTATAAGCTCCAAGACCTCCTTTTGTTTATCTGGTAACACTTAGTTCCAGCGTTCTACCGGGCTGGTTTTCATGATTTTTGAGGCTATCGACAGGCAATTGGCTCTAAACGAACCCACTTTATTCAGTTTTTGAAAATATGACCCAGGTTTTTTTATATTGCGTCGTAAAGTTGCGAATTCTCCCATTTAAATAAAGTAAATTTTTATTTTTTGTCACAGTTCGTTTGAGCGTTCTAATGGGCCGATTTCCATGATTTTTGCGGTTATCTACAGGTGATAGTCCTCAGATGAGCCCGCTGTAATCACATTTTGGAAATAGGACCAAATTTTTTCATATAACAGTAGACCAGGGAGCTCAGATGGGGGGGGGCAAAATTTGAAAAATGGTGGGAATTTCAAATTTAGCGGAAAACTGAACTAAGCGGGAAATGTTGGATTTTGGTCTGTTACTAGGGTTAGGTGAGTGAATCGAGAGTATGCTATTCTCCTTAAGACGATCCAAAAGCGACGAAACGCTCCATTCCGTTTCGTTCGTTTCGTTTCGTTTTAGTCTTGACATGAAGTTTGAAATAATGCTGATTTTTTTATTCGATTCTTATTGGTTCAATCGCCTCCGGCCAGGGGGAGATTGGACAAATGGATTGCATTTTGCAAAAAGGCGAACTAGGAGCATTGCAGTGTTGCTAAGATTGCTAAGAACTTCTTGTCTTGGAAGAAAAACCTGATTATCCATTAACAGTTTCTATTTCACTCGCTAAAAATGGAAAATTAAGACAAAAATTACCATGTTAACTTCATACTTTTCCGTGATATCAATAATTTTATTGCATAGGATGAAGAATGAGCACATGGGAATGGGGTCTCCCCATGAGAAAGAAGTATCCCCATGGGGGCACATGATATTTAGGCCTGTGAAAAACTACGGTTCCCCATGGAGACAACAAATTTCATGGAGAATCATGAGAGGTGCGATTCCCACAGGAGCCAATTTACCATGTGCCCCTATGGACATTAGGACGTATTTCTGCCACACTTAACTAAGCGCCTTGTGACGTAAGCTCTGTTATGCATAAATTCTTATGGGTCTCAGAGCTCATGTCTCAATGCACATACTTAGTTCATTTTGGCAGAAATAGGTCAATTTTTTTTTAGTTTAAAATGAAAGGAATCATATTGAAATATCTATGAAATTTATGATAAAAAATACGGTTTTCTGTGATAAAATTGCATGCAAAAGGAAAATATAATGGGCATGACTCACTAAATTCAACTGATCCCTCATCAAAAATAAAACATGAATAAGACACCAATGATGCCATTTGCGATACTTTTAACACAGCACACTCACTTTCATTTATTTTCTCATTAAGATTAGAGCAATGCATATTAAAGGTAACTAATTGAACCTCACATCACTACAAATTTCTTAAAACATTTTCGGTCATACATAAAATTTTTATTAAAACTATACGTATAACGTGTATTTTCTCTGAACACACTGCAACTTCTATTGATGATGTTGTTTTGAGGCGATTCATGGTGAATTTCTCAAAACCATATGATTTTTAGTTGCTGCTAATTTCCTATCGGATGACTGTTCAGATGAGAAACTGACAGCCATGTCATAGAATAGTAGCCGCTTTCTAAATCCAGAATGTAAGAAATCCAGAAAGAAGGCGCAAGCTGGAGTGCAGGGAGCTCTTTAAAACCCTGAAAAACAGACAAATAAACAGCATTATTGTACAAGGCTTTTGAACGGTCATTTGGTGTTAGTTGGATGAGGTTGTGACCGTTCAGCTATACGACTCTATTCATGCTTGATGCGCAAATTTTACTCATTGAAAAAAAAAAATACCTAGATCTTAGGCTGTTCTGTTTAGAATGAAATTTTAAAATTTTCATAACATTGCAATTTTCTTTTACCTAATTGAGGTAAAGATTTGAAACTTGGGGGATATTCCTAGGTCAAAGGGAGCTACTTTCTGGCCCCCTAAACTTTCCAGGGGGACCCCCCTTGGGGGGGCAACGGCCCCCAACTTTAAATTTTCAAATGGGAAGGCCCCCTTTGTGATAGCTCGTTCGAAAGAGCATAAAAAAAGAAAACTTTTCGCGCAAACCCGAAGTCTATATCTCAAACCGTTTCAAAATGGCGGCCGGTTAAAGTTCAAAATGGCCGAAAATTCACACCGGTTATTTGTTGATGGATTTGCGCGAAAATCGGTATGTAGGGGTATCTGACACGAGAAAAACGAATTTGACGTTAGATTTTCAAAAAAACCGAAATTTCCAAAATGGCCGAAAATTTTCACCTTGGTTTTTTTCCTGATGGATTTGCCTAAAACTTTGAATTTGAGAGTATATTGGCATAAGATAAACAAATTTGAACTTAGATTTATAAAAAAATCAAGTTTTGGTCATTTTGAACTTTAACCGGCGGCCATTTTGGAAATTTTGGTTTTTTTTTAAAATCTAACGTCAAATGCGTTTTTCTCGTGTCAAAATACCCCTACATACCGATTTTCGCGCAAATCCATCAACAAATAACCGGTGTGAATTTTCGGCCATTTTGAAATTTTGAAACGGTTTGAGATATTGACTTCGGGTTTGCGCGAAAAGTTTTCTTTTTTTATGCTCTTTCGAACGAGTTATCACAAAGGGGGTCTTCCCATTTGAAAATTTAAAGTTGGGGGTCGTTGCCCCCCAAGGGGGGTCCCCTTAGAAAGTTTAGGGGGCCAGAAAGTAGCTCCCTTTGACCTAGGAATATCCCCCAAGTTTCAAATCTTTACCTCAATTAGGTAAAAAGTTAGAGGGGGTGGAAGGGACTTTTGGATCACCCTGTATNAAAAAAAAAAAAAAAAAAAAAAAAAAAAAAAAAAAAAAAAAAAAAAAAAAAAAAAAAAAAAAAAGGCATAAAGTAAATCAACAGTTCAATTAGTCAATGTCATTAAGAATTTATTTGACATACATTTCACATTACAGTCCTTAAAAGACTGTTATTTCTGTATGTGATTAGATGCAGGCGCAGTCAGATATGCCACAGCTACCGTCGCAACCAGCTGCTCCACACCCGCAGGGAGAGCCAGAACCCCCACAGGCAGGCTCGTAAATGACCGGGAGTCCCTCGTCGCAGATGACCTCGGGTTGTTCGTAGTGGTCGATGATGACAGGGCAAGAAGCGTGGTTGACGAAGGCCGTGCGTTGAACGGCATCGATGATGTACGGGGTCTCGAAGTGCTCGATCACTGCCGGTCTGGACTGGTGGGATAGCCGGACCGGGGTAGAGTCACCGAAGACGAACCTGGGAGCAGCCTCCTGCTCTAAGACGATGGGTGCACTGTCCACGTATTCTGGGACAACGGTTGGTGCCTCCTGGACGATGATTCTGCCTGGTCCAGCAACCGGTTGTACGATTGTTCCGGCAGCGGCAGCGGCTGCGGCGGCCGAACCGGCTCCAGCGCCACCTCCGAATCCTCCGAAGCCACCGGTGCCTCCGAAACCTCCAGCTCCTCCGAAACCACCGAAACCTCTGCCAAAACCACCGCCGATGCCTCCAAGTCCGTTGCCAAATCCTCCTACCACTCCGCCGTAGCGCCCAAAGCCAGCGCCGCATCCGGACCCGTAGCCTCCTCCGTATGATCCCCAACCGGCCCCGCAGCCGCATCCGGCGCCGCAATTACGGGCACCACAGTGGCTCATAACAACGTGCACTGTGGCCATTATGCCCAAGAATATCAGAGTTACTTTCTTCATGGCAACGTTTGAGCGATTGGGGTGGATGTCTAAGAGCAGGATGGGTAGACTTGTATGATCCTTGAAGATGTACGAAAGAATGGTGATTACCTTCCAACAGTCTCCCCTTTAATACCCCCAAGCACCGTTTTTTATCCATAGCACTGATAGTTTTCTGTAGAGTGGTTCAGAATTCTAACTCATAGTAGCGTGATAAACGTGGAAAACTGTACCCTCAATGAAATATCATTTTTTAAGCTAAAGTGTATTTCCACTATTAGATGTAACTTCTCTAATTGCGGGAAGAATGTAATCTGAGAAGTACGTATCATGTTCATCACCTATCAAATTCAACCCGGGCATATCTGATAAGAATTTAAGGATGGGATGCTATTTTCTCCCTCTTCAAAATTGAAAGGATTAAATGAATACGTCGAAAGACTGGAGGAAAAATTCAGACAGAATTTCTGACGCAACTTGACTTGCAAACGGAGTAGTCCATTTCATATGATCTCGATAGCAAATGGTGTCCTAGATAGATTTGATCTGATGGATGGGACGAAGGAGAAAATAACGTGCCTCACCTAGGAAGACCTGCAAAACAGAACCTCGCTAGCAATTTCTTATCAGAAACAGTCCATAGCCAAAATTCATCACGTGTAGGTACAAGCCACGCGATGAGATCGCATTCAGTGCACGATTAGTGGCTCAGATATCCACTATTTGCGATGTAACTCGGAGAGAAAATTAGCCTGGAGTTTTTAATGGCATTTTTCCTTGTCCAACCCTCCAACTCCCACTCCCTCCTTCCCCTTCACAACACTTGCAGAAACAATCTGGCCGCACAGTGAAAGGTGAAATAGTGGTTATAAAAGGCAAGTCCGTCTCCGAGAAAATAATCACTCCCTTTTAGGTCTTTGAGAACAGCATCCTAGCCGGTCAAAACTTCACTATGAAGCAAGCCACTCTATTTTTGTTAGGTGTCATGGCCACGGTGCACGTTGTCATGAGCCACTGTGGTGCCCGTAATTGCGGCGCCGGATGCGGCTGCGGGGCCGGTTGGGGATCATACGGAGGAGGCTACGGGTCCGGATGCGGCGCTGGCTTCGGGCGCTACGGCGGAGTGGTAGGAGGATTTGGCAACGGACTTGGAGGCATCGGCGGTGGTTTTGGCAGAGGATTCGGTGGTTTCGGAGGAGCTGGAGGTTTCGGAGGCACCGGTGGCTTCGGAGGATTCGGAGGTGGCGCTGGAGCCGGTTCGGCCGCCGCAGCCGCTGCCGCTGCCGGAACAATCGTACAACCGGTTGCTGGACCAGGCAGAATCATCGTCCAGGAGGCACCAACCGTTGTCCCAGAATACGTGGACAGTGCACCCATCGTCTTAGAGCAGGAGGCTGCTCCCAGGTTCGTCTTCGGTGACTCTACCCCGGTCCGGCTATCCCACCAGTCCAGACCGGCAGTGATCGAGCACTTCGAGACCCCGTACATCATCGATGCCGTTCAACGCACGGCCTTCGTCAACCACGCTTCTTGCCCTGTCATCATCGACCACTACGAACAACCCGAGGTCATCTGCGACGAGGGACTCCCGGTCATTTACGAGCCTGCCTGTGGGGGTTCTGGCTCTCCCTGCGGGTGTGGAGCAGCTGGTTGCGACGGTGGCTGTGGCATTCCTGTCTGCCACTGAAGGATAAAAAAAAGAAGCTAAATACAATGCCGGTTATGTTTTGACTAAAAATGTTCCTTGAAAAAATGAAATGATAGTCAATCATGTACAAGTTGGTAAAAAATTAAAACTGGAAATAGAAAACACACAATTAAACTATTTGTTTTCATCGCTTGTCACCGTAAATCTTAGCAGTAATAATTGCAGATAGGGTCCATGATGAACGACCGTTGGTTGAACCTTTATTTCGGTAATATTTTTGTTAATATTTGCAGAAAAACATCAGCTGACAATGCGGCTTTCTCAGTCGGGGGTATTTTGCAACGGCAAGACTATGATGGCACGCACATCACTCATTTAATGACGTGTTGATCATGCATATGGGACCATTTCTGCTGATTTTTCCTGAAATTCGTTCATCTTGATTGATCCAGGATAAGAGGTCTTATCATCTTTGTTTTTATTACACCTTGAAGGAAAAACGCCAAAGCCAATAGTTACGTGGCAACACGATGCATATTCCTCATTGCCACCCGTCTCAGTCGGTGGACGGAACTCGCGGGGACACTGGGAGTTTCTTTTCTAAAAATCGATTACCTCATCAAGCTCTAGTTCAAAATTCAAAAACTTGGGCTGCGTGAAGAGCTTTGAATGTAAGAAGTCAGGAACTGTTTTCAGTTTTGAGATATCATTTTTAGTTCTCGAGTTATTTACAGTGTATATAAAATTACTTTTTGGATGACCCTCACCCTCGTTAAATGGCTGCCACTATATGACGCAGCTATTTGAATTGGCACAAACAACGAAGACCCTACATTTTGTTAGTCATGGTTTTTACATCTCAAATTTTTCTCTTAGAAGTGTTCCCTGTTTTACAAGAATATCAAAGTATTGTAAAGTTTTTAAATGTTGTAAAAATAAGACAATAAACATGTTAAGTTACGGAAAGTTAACTCAAAATCAACTATATATTCTAGAACGAGGAAATTAAGGAATTTAGGGAAATAGGTAAGATTGAATGAAAAAGTGAAAGAGAGACTGGAGAAAGAGCGAAAAGGGTATGGAAAGAAAGAGGAGAGGAAGTAAGAAATACGTTTTTCGAGTAAATAAATAGGTAATCGTTAATTTCGAAAAATGCATTGTATGTGTGACAAAGGTCATTTTAGGACCCACACAATCCCAGGTCACTCATTTACATTCAGCAACATTTTCTTGCAGTTTACTGTTTTATCAGGATATTTAAAAGTGTGCCAATTTTCCGCGCAAATAGTGAAGTAAGGAGTGAATTATTATGAACCTTTTCAATTGAACACGGAGAAAATTTGAAATTGCTGATGTAACAATTTTGTAGTTGAAATAAGAGTCCGACTTGTTTTAATGTACATTTTACAGTTAAAAATTGCTAATATAACCACCGGGGCGCTTAAATTAGCTTCCACAATAATTGTAAAATGTACATTTGAAACATGTCGGACATACTTCGTACCACTTTAATTTTTAAAGCAGCAATAAATTTTTCTCCATGTAGGCTTATCTTAGCCTCTGCGATGTAACCGAGCAGACGTATTTTTTCCCCCGCTTGAGTGTAAAGGTTTGCAACAGCCCCATTGAAGGCAGTGATCAAAGAGCACGGAGGCCCCGGAGATCGCACGACGGCCCGGAGCCTATTTACTTTCGAGGTGCTCCTTTTTTTCTGCTCTCTACTGTCTTTTTTCACTGTGCTCATCTTTCATCATTTGGCTTTTTCCAACTTCTGCTCGTTATGTTTCACGTCAGCAGTCACCACTGAAGTTTAAAATTAAGCTCAGGCATCTCTTTCGTTTATCCCTCGTGGCATTCGCTTGCTAGGGATGACTTTGCGTTTACATCGATTTCTATTATAGTCTGCCTGCAGAAAGGCTGTGTGCGGACATGTTCAATCGTGCTCTCTATTTCATTGTTACTTTCAGCTTGTCTTCTTTTCTAACAAGGAAACGAATCATCGTAAATGCTGTACATTCTAGGTTGCTTATTTTCACTCAGTGAAGAAAAGTCACCGAGTATTTCGAAATAAAGAGTCACTTTCAAGAAAATAATCAAATGTGAGAATGAAGTTTCAAGGAGAATCTATATTGTGAGTAAATGCTTATGAATCGGGCTGAATGATGAATGGGAATTCAAAATGTGCTTAGCACCATTTGGTTTCTCGAAGACTGTTCACGGTGTTCATCACTGAATAGAACTTAATGCTTTTACTTCATCGACTTTTTATTGGGACATTTTTTCTGAAGTTCTGTATTTTTTGTCGGTCAAGATCAAATGGAAAATTGTATGAATAAATTCACACATTCTCTTCTTAAGTTCGGTAAACAGTGATTCTTTCTTCGTATTATTTCATTTTGATGTCTGCATTAGTATAATTATCACCTTCAAGTCACCAATATACATTATTCACTACCGCGACCGCTACTCGCCCCAACACCCAGCGGGCGCTTCGCGCTCTCTCAAGACCGCTTCGACAAAAGAACGACCAAAAAAATAAAAAAATGATCATCCCGAAACTTTCATTTGTCCAATCTCCCTCTGGTCGGGAGCGATTGGACCCATGAGAATCGAATAAAAAAATCGGCATTTATTTCAAACTTCACTCCAAGACTGAAACGATACAGAACGAACGGAACGGAGCGTTTTGTCGCTTTTGGGTAGTTTGTAGAAAAGAAGCATACCTACCTTCAATTCACTCACCTTACCATACTAACAGACCAAGATTCAACATTTCCCGCTTAGTTCAGTTTTCCCCTAAATTTGAAATTCCCAACATTTTTCATTGGCGGGAATTTCAAATTTTGCCCGCCCCCCCCCTTTCTAAGCTCCCTGGTCTACTCTTGTATAAAAAAATCCGGGTCCTATGTCCAAAATCTGATTACAGCAGGCTCATTTAATGACTATCAACTGTCAATAGCCGCAAAAATCATGGCAATCGGCCGAGTAGAAGGCTTGAACGAATTGTGACAGAAGATACAAATTGACACTGTTTACTTAAATGGGTGAATTCGCAACTTGACCGCGGCATATACAAAAACCTGGACCATAACTACAAAATCTGAATAGAGCGGGCTTACCTAGAAACAATTGTCTGCCATTAACCGCAAAAATCATGAACATCGCTCCGGTAGAACGCCAGAACTCTAAAAATGAAACTTTAGGAGGCTTCAGAGCTTAAAGTGTAGATGTTCTTGCTACCAACGATTATACCAATAAATCTTCAGAACAACTGGATCCAAAACGATAAAGGAAAAGAAACTAAAAGCTGCTCTCCCCTTCATAAAGCTGTTATCCACGGAGGTGGACAAGGTATAGCCAGTCAGGTTGGCCGAGCGGTCTGACTATAGATCAACAGGTTCCCAGTTCGAATCCCGGTGGTGGCGACGAATTTTTAAAGAACTGACAAGTGGATCTGCGGAAACAGACTCTACTCCGCGACTCCGCCTTAATCCCCGAAAATGTGAAAGCCTGGAGCATGGATATGTACTGACCCTAACCCGATGCTAATTCAAGGTTGCAGAATCCTCAAATGGATTAAAAACATCAAATAACTTTGAAAACAGATTATAAGTAAGGCGCGATATCAATAGTTAGTTAGTTAGTTAGTATAATTTTAAGTCATTCAGCATCTCAGGCTATAAACGTCTTTACAGATAATTTTGAAAATGGGAGTATAAACAAAAATATAGATTTTTAAATTAAGAGAAGTGAAGAGTTTTAGAATGTTGGTGGTGATATTGGGTTCATCGCATGTAAGTGGGTTTGAGTTATCCACCGGGGGCTCATATTTCGTGTATCGGTTCGATCGAAGAATGATAACAGCGTATTTTTCGAACAGATAACTATTCGCGCTCCGCGGTATATTTGTTGCCTATCCGGCGAAATTGAAGGAGGATCTAAACAAGAATATATCTGTTATAATATTTTACGCTTGTGCTATTGATGAGACATCAAAGTTTATGAAGCGTTATCACCCCAGTGTAGTTTCCGTCCATGCGGTAAAATTAAAGGCGAGATTCAAGTGGACCATGGAGACCAATCCAATCGCACATTGCTCATCGGTTCAATCGGGTCTTGCAGCGAGATAACTGTTTTATTATGAGCCATCTGCCTCAGCTCACTTCGCTTGCCTCCGCACCTAACCAGGGGGCGGAGCCCTCTGAACTCCCCATCACGGGAGTGATTATGGCTCGCTCAGCTCCAGGAAAAAACTCAACAGCCGATATTGAAAGTTCGGATTTTTGGTATCATCTGGACATCAACAGCTTCGTTTGCAACAAATTTCAAAGAAATCGGCCCGGCGATTCCTCAGAATTAAAGATCACAAGGTCTCGACCCGTACAGTTTTATTTATGAAGATGACTTGTAAATTTCTTGCCATTCATGCTCATCAGTAAATTATCCTTATCCCTTATTTTCCCTCTTCTCTTCTATATCTCTCCTGTCTCCTCTCTATATCTAGAGAGGAGACATTACAACTAAAACTTTACTTTCAAAAGTAATACAATTTTATTGAGAATTAATGAAGTACCTTTCGCTTGTTCTAGGTAAGGAAACTTTCTCTACATCTTGCAACGTTTTGGTGAGTAATTTCGTATCATTATCTTCCTTCGTAAATGATTTTATAGTAACCTGTAATTTTCGATATCCAAGGATTAACTCCTTTCTCTTATTGGGCTCACGTTCAAAAAAAAAGGGGGGGGGGGGTGAATACTTTTTTGAATCAGCTATTACAGAAAGGGCACGATCGACATTTTTTTCGAAATTGAGTCTTTTGCGGTTTTCGCATTAGTGTATGTAGACACATTCTGTAGTGCAGACAGGGCACTATATTCGCATTTTTTATGTGTTTTTGTCAGGGGTTAAGTTTTTTTTTCGTCTTCTTTTTTTTGTTTTGTTCCTAAGTATTCTCTATTAAAATTTTGTGTAAATTTTCTTCACACCATCAAGATTGTTTTCTGAAAATTTCATGGGAAAATCTCTATTAGTTCTCTTTAAAAAAATAAAATAAAAAGAGAGCAGAAATTTTGAAACGTTGTAATGGAGATACAATTTCCAACTTTCGCTATAGACATGCATCATTGCCATACATTTCAGATGAAAAACAAGGGCTAAAATAATTTTCTGGCTTCATTCTATCACTCTTTATGGCTCCTTCCCCCTTGTATTACAGAAAGGGCACTATTGCTCTTTCATCAAATGTCATTATTTACGAGGGTCATCCAAAAAGTAAGGTTCCCTACCTTTTATCTTTCGAGTGAAAAGAGATAAGTCAAATCGGTAAAAAAGCACATATCAAGCATACTCTAAGCTTTAAAACAAGCTCAAGTTTTTGAAAATCGGTCAAAGGATTCGCGAGTAACCTCAATTTTACTGAGACAACCTCCTGTCGCCGCGTGCCCACCTCCAGGTTGAGAATGCACGGAGAGTCGATTATTGAGGACTCGGGTTATCGCCTCTATACATCACATCAACAAGGGATTTTAAAGTTTTCATTGAGTAGGCCTTACTTTACTTTTTGACGTAGTCTCCACATGTTTTTTGACATTTCTGGTATCATTACAGCAGCTTCTTGATGCCCTCCGCGTAGAAGCTTTCGCCTTGACTCTGAAACCAGTCATCGACAGCTATCTGTACCTCTGAATCGGTTAAAAATCGCTTCTATCGTGGAAGTTTTTCCGCTCGGGAACATATAAAGGTCACATGGAGCTAAAGTAAGAAAGTTTGAAGGATTGGGGGAAAATTTCCTTACGCAAAGCAACTGATTCGGAAGTGCAGATCGCTGTCAATGACTGATTTCGGAGTCAAGGCGAAAGCTTCTACACGGAGGGCATCAAGAAGCTGCTGTAATGATACCAGAAATGTCAAAAAACATGAGGAGACTACGTCAAAGAGTAAGGTAAGGCTTACTCAATGAAAACTTTAAAATTCCTCGTTGATGTGATGTATAGAGGCGATAACCCGAGTCTTCAATAATCGAGTCTCCGCGCAACCTGACTCCGGAGGTGGACACGCGGCGGCAGGAGGTTGTCTCAGTAAAATTAAGGTTACTCGCGAATTCTTTGACCGATTTTCAAAAACTCGAGCTTGGTCTAAAGCTTAGAGTATGCCTAATATGTGATTTTTTACCGATTTGATTTATCTCTTTTCTCTCGGAAGATACAAGGTAGGGAACCTTACTTTTTGGATAACCCTCGTACAACCCAGAAAGAGTATCATGTAAAAATGTTTTATGGAAATTGTTAGTCTACTTGGGGGACAAAAGAAACCCACGAAATTTTTTTTTCCAAAAGCTTATAGTTTAATCAAATCGGTTTTTTGCATTTTCTGAACAATTAACATTTCTGCAATAGTGCCCTTTCTGTAATATGTGATTCATTTGAAAAGCTTCATGAATAAATTCGTACAACCGTCTCAGACGGTATGCTTAGCTTTTCATTGTTCAACAATGCCCCTTGAAGGTATTTAAAAATGTGTTTTTCATGCAATATCACCAAATAACTTTCATTGTTTCATCGGTTACCTACGTTTTATTTCATTTTTTGACAGTTGGAAAAATTACAACGCATTCAAGAATGTTAAAAGCAAAGCTAGAATAATTCATTCTCTTTCAACACATTATGTTGAGGAAACATTATTCTCTACATGCCTAGACGCAGCCACAGTCGGATATGCCACAGCTACCGTCGCAACCAGCTGCTCCACACCCGCAGGGAGAGCCAGAACCCCCACAGGCAGGCTCGTAAATGACCGGGAGTCCCTCGTCGCAGATGACCTCGGGTTGTTCGTAGTGGTCGATGATGACAGGGCAAGAAGCGTGGTTGACGAAGGCCGTGCGTTGAACGGCATCGATGATGTACGGGGTCTCGAAGTGCTCGATCACTGCCGGTCTGGACTGGTGGGATAGCCGGACCGGGGTAGAGTCACCGAAGACGAACCTGGGAGCAGCCTCCTGCTCTAAGACGATGGGTGCACTGTCCACGTATTCTGGGACAACGGTTGGTGCCTCCTGGACGATGATTCTGCCTGGTCCAGCAACCGGTTGTACGATTGTTCCGGCAGCGGCAGCGGCTGCGGCGGCCGAACCGGCTCCAGCGCCACCTCCGAATCCTCCGAAGCCACCGGTGCCTCCGAAACCTCCAGCTCCTCCGAAACCACCGAATCCTCTGCCAAAACCACCGCCGATGCCTCCAAGTCCGTTGCCAAATCCTCCTACCACTCCGCCGTAGCGCCCGAAGCCAGCGCCGCATCCGGACCCGTAGCCTCCTCCGTATGATCCCCAACCGGCCCCGTAGCCGCATCCGGCGCCGCAATTACGGGCACCACAGTGGCTCATAACAACGTGCACCGTGGCCATGACACCTAACAAAATCAAGGTACTTTGCTTCATGATGATAGTAAGTAGCCCTCGGATAAAGAGACCAATGTCCACGGAGATGAGTGAGAAGTTTTCCACACAGCCAACGAAGGGAATGATGCCTTCATTTAAAACTTGTCCATTTTATAGACTGCATTACATCCCTAGTGCGTTTGAAATACTAGAAATAAATGTAATCAGTTCACTGTTAAGATAAATAAAAATATTGCAACATTTATTAACTATATGGGTGGGTTAGAAGCCAATTGTGCCAATCGTTGCTAGCATATGGGATGTATTTTGCTGGCGAGTTCAAGGATACATCTCAATTTGTAGGAAGCGATAACTAAATCTTCAACCGGTTGTCCCCGCTGAATGCGAAGTTTTGTTCATGAGAAAATTTAGGAGGAAAATGTGCGTATGATTTCTGAAGATAACTCAGAAAGCAGTTTTTATTTTGCACTATGAAGAGGTCTGTTGAAATTTGAAAACTGACCCTCTAGGATCCGCATACACCACGACTTATCATTGACGAAGCGATTATTTTACGTGGGTATATTTTAAGTTTTAAAAAGAATCAAATACATTAAACGCATCAAAATTATGAAATTTTAAATCCTTCAATGTCGATAGGAAAAACATCGCCAGCAGTCTTGGCTGAACGTTACTTAAAACTATACAAAATTAATCTTCTGCACTGAATACAGAAAAATAAGCCAGGAGCACGATGTCAAAAATCTACTTGTAGGTGGATCAAGTGACGGAGTCAGATAAGGAATTTTTGCAATTTGATATACTGCTGAGGAACTACGGTGGCAGATTCAGCTCAAACGTGAAACCACGTACAAACTAGACGGATTCAAGATTATTTTGAGGAGACAGTTCTTCCTTAGAAGCACCTGCCGCCAATCCATCTTTGGGGAAAAGATCGATTTTCAAGCAAAAATCGAATGCAGATATCCTCAGCAAAAATACTCAATATAAAATGTGCCGTTGCTTCAAACCACATCCTCACTCCTCGCCTAGTCTGTCTCTCAGGACAACCGCTTATACACAGCTCCAAGGTTGCGAAGAAACAACATGATGAAGCAAAGTACCTTGATTTTGTTAGGTGTCATGGCCACGGTGCACGTTGTCATGAGCCACTGTGGTGCCCGTAATTGCGGCGCCGGATGCGGCTGCGGGGCCGGTTGGGGATCATACGGAGGAGGCTACGGGTCCGGATGCGGCGCTGGCTTCGGGCGCTACGGCGGAGTGGTAGGAGGATTTGGCAACGGACTTGGAGGCATCGGCGGTGGTTTTGGCAGAGGATTCGGTGGTTTCGGAGGAGCTGGAGGTTTCGGAGGCACCGGTGGCTTCGGAGGATTCGGAGGTGGCGCTGGAGCCGGTTCGGCCGCCGCAGCCGCTGCCGCTGCCGGAACAATCGTACAACCGGTTGCTGGACCAGGCAGAATCATCGTCCAGGAGGCACCAACCGTTGTCCCAGAATACGTGGACAGTGCACCCATCGTCTTAGAGCAGGAGGCTGCTCCCAGGTTCGTCTTCGGTGACTCTACCCCGGTCCGGCTATCCCACCAGTCCAGACCGGCAGTGATCGAGCACTTCGAGACCCCGTACATCATCGATGCCGTTCAACGCACGGCCTTCGTCAACCACGCTTCTTGCCCTGTCATCATCGACCACTACGAACAACCCGAGGTCATCTGCGACGAGGGACTCCCGGTCATTTACGAGCCTGCCTGTGGGGGTTCTGGCTCTTCCTGCGGGTGTGGAGCAGCTGGTTGCGACGGTAGCTGTGGCATATCTGACTGCGCCTGCATCTAATCACATACAGAAATAACAGTCTTTTAAGGACTGTAATGTGAAAAGTATGTCAAATAAATTCGTAATGACATTGACTAATTGAACTGTTGATTTACTTTATTCCTTTTTTTTTTTTTTTTTTCATTTCGGCCTACAATATTATATGTAGATTGATTTAAAAAACGCATGCTCCGGTGTATGTAGGATCTATATCAATACAGGTCGCCTTTGAAAAATTATGAGAATGATGATAAAAGATTCAGCCTTCCTGAGCATTTGGTGAGTCCTGGCTTCGGCTTAGCTCTCGTAATGGTTACCTATCACCTTCTGTTGTATATTTTTCGGAGTGCCATTGTGATTTATCGTGTTACATTGCTGTCTGAACAAAGCTGTATTTGAATTGCTTGAAGAATCGATACCCAATAAAATCTACAGACTTCCGAACTGAATATAAACCTTTTTTTCTCGGGCAAAAATAAGGGAAGTTCTAAATTCTAATTTTATACCCACTGCTCTACGGCTTCTCTCAGCAGAGAATATCAAGAACTCTTAACCTTGTTACAGCTCAATCAATTTCTTTTGTACAGTCATATTTCAAATGAATGCGCTTCTGTGAAATCGCACTCAATAATACTAAAGTGATTGATTGTTTAAATGTATGATGTGTATCGTAATACTAGGGGGCCCTGCCCCCTGACCGCTACGCGGCCCAACCCCTGGGAGGGCGCCTCGAGCCCTCCACGCATATGTATCGGCAAAAATGTTCTTCCATTTTAATACACCATTTTAGGTTCGAGCTGCATCGATTTCAAAATTTTTGACGTAACACTCAGATTTGTAAATGATGAGGAATAGCTGGATGTACATAATTTCACAGTCCACTTGCTATAGAAATTTCTATTTATTGTGTTATTTTTAAATACTTAATTTAAAAAAAAAAATCGGATTTCGACCGTTAAGAGTTAATAATATTTGGTCCGTCCCGACGCGACGCAGCGCCTGCCTTCTCACTTTGTATCTGCTGTTTATCTGCTGTAGATATTAATAGAAATTCAGCAATCAAGTAAATTGACCAATGCCGCAAATCAAAGCCGGAAGAATGCATGAAAAATTGAGTTGAACCTTATACCTTGGACCTTGAACCCTGAGCGATTCACCGTTCCTCAACTCTTCGAATTAGGAGCCCTTCACGAGCTTTTCCATTGTTTATTTTTATTCGAGTCACTCAGGTAGAATCCCACACCTTGACTTTCTAGCGGAAACGACATATCTCTCACGCTATTAACATTGGACTTAAGTGACATGAGCTTTAAAAGCTCTACAACATTAAAAGTTCGGATTGAGCGTTTTTGCAGGCAAAGACCCCCTCGGAATGAGCAGGCGATCACAGAGCGGGAGTAGCTGGTGGAGCGTGCATGAAGCTCGCTCGGACTCCATGATTATGCTCTGTTGCTCTCTCCTCTCCTCTACTCTTTGCTCATAATGGCGCCAAGCACGAATTTCACTCTCGGAGAAAAATTGAACCGCTCAGCTCAGGGAATAGACCTTTTTGATTGAAATGAAATTTCTATAAGAGTCCAAACCAAGTCCTAACCAGGGTAATGCTTAAAATTCTTTGGCAAGATATTTTTCTGATATAATTTAAGGATGAAGGAGGGAGAATCTTTAGAATTTCTGGAGAAATCACAAGCTTATTGTGTGGGGGCCCCAGCGTTCTGAGGCATTGAAATTAATCTTAAATGTACCTATTTACATTTTGAATTTTGATGGAAAAGGGGGGGGGGCTTCATTTATATCTGAGCCATGTATGTTTGATTAGAGGATTTACTTATTGCTAAATAGGCAGAGGATGCCAGATGATAAGGGATGAGTTTGAGGATTATATGCGCACAAGATATGTTTTCAGGAAAGCTTCGGCAGCTAAAGACTAAGGTAGCATCCTTCCTTCCTTATTAGAATCAGGCGTGGATCTCAGGAAAAATTTAAAAAATAGAAGGAGGCTATCTACGTGTGGGAGAAACCAATATAAGTACTTAGAGTTAAATTTTACGTAAAAAAGATGTGTAGTTGGTCCGTAAAGACGCAGAGTTGTACCTACGTATTTGTCAGGCTGTATACATGCAGCACCCATTGCAGCCTCCTTTGGAGAATACTATCGGTGCCTAATATTATCTCAAACATGCTTCAGATGTCAAATTTTGAAATCATCCATGTCAAGAATACCTATCTATTAATTATACCTGTACCTTTCCCTCTGCTTTATGCTGCTTAGTACATTCTGTGCGCATTGGGGGAACTAGTTGAGAGGAGGATGGGGGGGGGGAGAAATATTACCCTCTCCTGACTTCCTAAGATATATGAGGGCTTTTGCTAAGGTACTTAATGATCATCCATGCATGTAGTGAAATACCTATTTATTAATTATACCTGTACCTTTCCCTCTGCTTTTATGTTGCTTAGTAAATTCTGTGCGCATTGGAGGAACTAGTTGGGGGGGGGGGGGGGGGTAAATCTCACCCTCACCTCTGACTCAATTCCTAAGAAATATGAGGGATTTTGCTAAGTTAGCTGTGTTGCCAGACTTTCATTGTGGAAATTATAATTGTACCAAAAATATTTCCATGTAAAGATGAACCATCAAGCTAAAACTTTAACTAAACATTCGCACAAATTTATCAATTTCTTTTTGTGGCACAATGGTACAACTTCTGGAAACTTCCTGTTAAAGGTAAATACGAGGCACTTAGCACATTTCTTAAAAAATTTGCTGAAACAATATCTGTGCACATTTCTGCTTTTGATAACTTAAACCTTCCAAAGTACATAACAATCCAGAAAGTGGTAAAATTTACCAATCAGGCATCAAGAGGTGAAATGTGGGAGTGTAAATAAATAACATTACCTACAAAGATAACACTTACATTGAAAATATGATAGTATCAGTAAATTAATATGTAAATGAATGCGGACGATAGGATGGGTTAGAGTAGGTATTGGTTAGAGAGTGCTCGAACTGCTCTGAGTTTCCGTCGCGCCACGCAGCCATCTTGCCTGCTCATTTCGAGGGGGTCTTTGCCTGCAAAAAGTAAACATCTATTCGGGGTTTCATAATTTTTTGCACATCTACATCTACTACAGATGACATACATGTAAAGATCATCCTTATCGATCCGGCAGATCGTCAGTAATAGTGCTTCCAAGATTTTGCTTGTAGCTGTATAATATAGATTTGACATACTTGATAGCTCACTTTGATACGTAATTGAAAACTTAATGACAAACAACGTTTGTCTTTTGTTTCCGATTTTTATCGTTGCGTCCTTCTCTTTTAGCTTTTTATCAATCTTATGGTTTTATTTTTCCCCCAAGAAAATACCACGTGAGGTATATTTTCGTTTTTAGGACGAAATGATTTCAGTTTTTGGTAAAAAGAAGAAAACATTATAATTCAAAAGGATGCGTTTCGCAATGATTGATTAATGAATCATTGCAGTCAAAGAACTTAAGATGATTTACAGGTCGTAATAAATAAGTGCCAAAGTCAGGGTTCGTATCAATGAACCGGGACAACATGGAGGTACACCTGCCACCTAAGACGACTCGGCCACCGTCAATCCTGATTTCTCTGCGATGAATCTTTTGTTCATGGAGTGGAGGTAATGCGCAGGCTGCTTGGCCACTACGCAACATTCTCTGCCACTGCGCAACCTTTTTCGCATAGCGACAGCAGTTACGGAGCATTCTGTAAATTCGATCTTTTTCATAACGTGATTGTCAAAAAACCTGGGTCATATTTTGAAAATCTGAAAAGAGCGGGCTCATCTAGGGACTCTCACCTGTCACTTAAATCATGGAAATCGGTCCAGTAGAACGCTGAAACGAAATATGACAAGAAATAAAAATTTACATTGTTTAAACGGGAGAATTTGCAACTTTACCACGTAATACATAAAAACCTGGGTCATATTTTGAAAATCTGAAAAGAGCGGGCTCATCTAGACCAGAGACAATTATTGACCGTCAAAAGCCGCAAAAATAATGAAAATCGGCTCGGTGGAATGCTGGAACTAAGCGTTACCAGTTACGCAAAATTAGGAGGTCTCGGAGCTTATTGTAAAGATAATGTTAATGATGTCTTGAGATTGCTTTTTAATTGTCTTGGAGGCATTCACCAAAAAAGATGGATGCATCATTATGATTTGATTGATTTTCCTCCCACGACATGTTATGTATCAAGGTGTCGCTGTCAAGCCTTTGCGCAGTATGATGAACCTTTAAAAAAAAGGCTTTTTTGTGTCTCTCTTTTTGGGAACTCAGGGATTTCGTTCAAATGCAACCTACACGAAATCTTAATATGAGAAAATATTGCAGGGAAAGTTTCAGCTAGAGTTTAAAGCTCATTTTGACAACAAAGCGTTGCAAATTTTACATCTATTATCATTGAATAATGCTAATATTTTGAAGTTCCTTGCTGGAAGGAACAACTGTGGTCGATACTGAGTCATTTTTGAGACATGGTTTTATCAGTTGATGTTATCGTGACTCAAAAAATATATAGGGATTAACTGAAGTTGTATTTTAAACTAAGATATCTCAAAGTATTCGTATTTTTTAAGGATAAAATTTGTAAATTTTCGAACACTATTTTGCGAAAGCTGTTAACTCGAGCCAAAACTTTTCAGGTGGATTGTCTCATCGTGAGTTCTCGTTTAGGCCACATTTGAACAAAATCCCTGAGTTCCCTCGGAAAGGGGCACAAAAAGGCCCTTTTTTGACAGACTTTTTTGCTGTCTCGCAGTGTTGATCGGCAATGAGAACTAATTATAAATATTGCGTTAAGCCCATTAGCTCACATCATTTTCGTGAAACTTTGTGCTATGCGTTCATTTAAAGGGTGTAGGTATCATTTTCATGAGCTTTCAAGAAGCTCATTTTGCAACAATTATAGAACTCGCCAAAAAATCGTACTCAGAGGAAAGACGCAGAGAAATTGTAATTCGTTCATGAACGCCGCAAGTTGTATTATTTATTTATTTTTTTTCTGTCAACCTTCAGATTTATTCAATTACATTATTTTATAAGCACAATAATTTGTCTAT